AAACGCGACGCTAACCACGAAAAGCGTGATGCCGAACCATACTACGAATATTACAAACGCGACGCTAACCACGAAAAACGTGATGCCGAACCATACTACTACGAATATTACAAACGTGACGCTAACCACGAAAAACGTGATGCCGAACCATACTATTACGAATATTACAAACGCGACGCTAACCATGAAAAGCGTGATGCCGAGGCCAACCATGAAAAACGTGATGCCGAGGCCAACCGTGAAAAACGTGACGCTCACCAAGAAAAGCGTGACGCCCAACCCTACTACTACACTTACTACAAACGTGACGCTCAACCCTACTACTACACTTACTACAAACGTGACGCCCAACCCTACTACTACACTTACTACAAACGTGATGCCCAACCCTATTACTACTACTATTAATGAAATGAGTGAAATACTAGGACATATTTTCACTATTAGATATCGATTTTCCAAATTTTGTAAATTAATTCTTTTTATAGAAATTTACGTACTTCCTATTATTGTAACTTGAAATACTGTATATGACTAATAAAGATTTCACAGGCCTGCCTTATTTATGTACATACATACAGCTATATTGATTGCTATTTTGTGAAATCACAATCAAATGTCTAAACTTTTGATACGAGTATAGGTGTTTAAACACAGATTTTTTACCAAAAATAAAAAGATACAGGACGGGAAATTTTTGGATCACAAGAACTCCTGCATAAAATGCAATAGTGAACTCGCCTTACATTTTTTATTAATAATTTTCTTCTTACAATTTGTGAAGAATTGCTGGTTCAGCTTAAAGTTTCGCAGAACCAAAATTGTTTCAATATAAATTTTATACATGCAAATAACAAGTTTTTAAGATTCTATTAATAAAAGAAAAAACTATTCAATTATAGTTTTTATTTAAATTACAATTTAAAAAATGTTTTAATTGAATTAAATATGAATTTTTCTCTTCTTATTAGAAGTATAAGATCTCCATTGTTGTTTTGATTTAAATTTTCTAAAAATTCAATAGAAAGCATTTTTAGATTAAATAACAATAAGATTTTATTTATTAATAAAATAAAAAACAATATTGTCAATAGCTATTTTTAATTTAGTATTAAAACCTCTTATATTATCAAACATCTCATTAATGTTTATCTTGTCAATATTTTTTTTAACACAGATACTTACTTTATTGATTATTAAGCAAGGTATAGATACAATACAAGTGATTTGTACGGCTATATAAACCTAAACTATAAAACAAAACAAAAAGTTTGTTACAAATGACCAACTATGACTATTGTTATACCTTCAGGTTAGCTCTAGTATATCAAGGTTCCACAGTCATATAAGCTAAAAAGAAAGATAGAAGGGGAAGGAGATGAGAGGTGAAATTGAATATATGATGTGTTGTATCTAAGAGAACTAAAATATTTCAGAAAATCTCTCAAAAAAATACAATAAAAAAATATGTATCCATTGTATGCAAAGTCTTTAATATACTGTATGTGTCATATATATAGAAAAGATTTTGACTTCAATTATGAATTATAGGAATTTTGGATAGTGGATTTATTTAAATAAAGAAGATCAGATCTCAAGGTACTTATTATTTTGAAACTCATATAGAGGAAAAAAACTTTAACAGAAATATATACAGAGTAGAAGTATTAATAAAATATTACCATGTATTATCTCTCAATAACTTTCAATAATATATATATATAAGCTTGTTGGTTTTACAAATAATATATATTTCCCAATATCTAGTTATAGTATAACTCATTTATCTTTATTTAAGGTTATTTTAATATTATGAAAAACTCTTTCATATCTCTTTGATAAAATTAATTTCTAACCAGATTTCAGCTACATATAAAATTAACTATTCTTACTAAATAAGATATGAAAAAATCTTTAAAATAATAATTAATATAATCAATTTGATATAAAAAAAGTGGTGAAAAAAAAGCTTTTCTTGATATAATATAGACAATTTGCATCTTTCAAAATAGGAGAAATTTTATTTCTGTAAAGAAAAAATGTTAAGATTGGGTATATATACAGTTATATAGATTGATCCACTAGCAATACATTCTTTTTTATTGTAAACTCTTTTCACCTCAATTATACTAAAGTCATGAAATATTTGTTAGGTCTCTATATTCTAAGAGCTAACTAGTATATAAGTTTTCTCTTTTTATAGTTCTTTTTAGACAAGATTCAATAATATAATAGAAAGTAGTGTCTTATAATATGTGATATAACTTATAGAAACTTGTTTACATCCTTTTAGCTAATATAATTCTACTAGTTAATCAATTTATAAATAACTTTGTATTACTCAAAATTTAAAATCAAGCTGAGGTAGGCAAAATTCCATAAAAAAAATTGAAAAAGAATACTATTAAAGTATAACAATAATGAAGAGAGTAAATATTAAGGCTTTCTTATCATATAAACAACTTTATAGTATTTTTTTATATATTATAAGACAATAGAATATCAGTTTTTCTTTCCTTTGAAACTTTCTTATAATTGGTAAAAAAGGTATTTTATAACTATTCAGGTTACAAGCAATCAAGTTTTTGTTTAAAGATAGTATAGATAAAAAGAGAGGAAGTCAAAATAGCTTCTAAAGTATTTCTTGGGTTAGTTTAAGGAGAATAATAAGATTTTCTTAGCAAAAAAGTAAAAAAAAAACTTTTTGTGAATGTTTTTTTATATGTGATCAGAAAATTAATGAAAAGAGTTTATTATCTTATCAATATTACTATTATTATTTTCAATTTTATTTTTATTTTTAAATTTTTTTAATTTGTAACTATACTATCAAACATATCTTTTATTGAGATATCAAATAAATATCAATATATTATATAGATTTTTATAAAGTAACTAATTTATTATTATATTATTAGTTGAAAGATTTTATTACTTAAAATAGATAAGTTTATTCAGCTTATTCAAAACAAATTTTAATTACGACAATATTTTTCTTTTTTAATAAATTGATATTAAGATCTTTATTTATTGATATTGTTTATTACTATAGATTATTCTAAAAAATAAATTGTTAAATTAATATAATAGAAAAAAAAACAAAAAAAAAACAAATAATTTAAAACTTTTTCAAAAGATTTTTATATAAATAATATTCTTTTTTAGAAAAAAATTTGTTTAAATAAATTATTTTAGTTTTAGACTCTTAAAAAACTTATTTATTAATTATTAAAACTATATATTCTTTAAAAAAGTTATTATTTTGAGTTTTTAGAATAAAAAATTTCATCTTATATATTTATTATAAGACTTAAATTTACAATCTATTAGTATTATAATATTAATACTATAATACTTAATTTTATTTAATTGAAATAAAACTTGAAAACCTTAACTTTCTTTTTAAAAAAACCTTTTAATTATTTGAAAAACTTGTTAAAAAACAAAAGTATTATATTATATATTATTTATTTATTTCTTTATATTATAATTATCTTTTTTAAAAACTTATTCATTTAAAAAATTATTTTTATTTACTTTTTTTTTTATTATTAATAAGTATTATTAAAATAAATAATTATAATTAATAAAAATACCTTTATATTTAAAAACTAATATTCTATATTTTATATTAATTGTTTATTTTTATGCTACTTAAAAATTTAAATTAAAAGAATAATAATAGTTGATAAAAAAATTAAGTACTTTTATTATAATAGATTTCTATAAAATTTATTTTAAAAATAAAAAAACCTTTAAATACTTTATAATCAAATATTTTTTAACTTTTTTTTAATTTTTAAAAATCAAGTTTTGATTAAAAAAGTTTATAAACAAAAAAAAATATAATAATAACACTTCTAATATTTTTCAAATTCTTTTAATAATAATATCAATACTTTATTAATTAGAAAGTTTGAAAATTTTTAATAAATATTTTTTATATATATATTGAAAAATTGACAAAAGAGTCTATTATAAAAGATTTTAATATTATCATTATTTTATATAATTATTTTTATTATTATTTAAAAGTTATTAAAAATTGAAAAATATATATATTTCATTTTTTTAATTAATATTTAATAATATTTAAAACAATAATTACTAATAGTATGATAAATCACTTTCAAAGTTGCACTTAGAGTTTTGAATAAAAACGTTGACAAGTGAATTAATTAAAAATTTAGATTTAGTGTTATATATATAATATATAGCCTACAACTGTTTAATAAAGCATATATAACTGGTCTAACAAAGAATTAAAAAAAAATAATAATAATATTTAAAACAATAATTATAATTGAAATTTAAAAGATTGATATATATATAAATAAAATTTTTTTAACTTTTTGTTATATTAATTATACTATATATCTTTATTAAATAATAATAAATTATATATATTATTATATAATAATAAAATTAAATTTATATTTAACTCATTTTTCTTTATAAATTTGATTTTAAATATAATTTTAAAAATAATTTATTGTTTTATTTATTATTTAATAATATTTTTTTTTTCAAAAAAAAAAAACTCTTTCCCACTCGCATCCAAATTTCTGAAAATTTCCTTTTTAGAAAATTTTTTCAAAAAAAATAATTTTTGGAACGAAAAAGAGAGTTCTTAATAGAAACACAATATATTTTCACAACAAATAACACCAGACCATGGGCAAACACAAAACAGTACAACTTTAAGAAGTGGTAGAACCATCCAAAGACAAACACACACAAGTATGGAACTAGAAGTGGTCTTTACAGAACATGAAGGCATTGAAGCAATCTTCGAGGTAAATAACTCACAAATAACAAGACAACAAGAAAAGACCAACTCTACCATAGAGAAGCTAAACACTATGACCACTTTATCAGTACACCTTTATCACCAAAGGCTTTTAGCACATTGGCAGCATCAGAAATTGACTGGTTCGAAAAAAGTAAAAAAGCACAACAAGGTACTCAGGACAAGGGCAAAAGCAAGGAAACAACCTCCAACAATCAAACACTCCAACATCCCCCCTTTACAGATTGGCAAACACAATACAGAAGGAAATGTTTCAAGAAAGCCTTTCCCTTTAAACAGGTACCTAGCAAAGACACCAACAGTCAACTATATTCAGTAAAGATAGTACTCATTAGATAAAAATCAGTTACATCAATTAGAATCAATAATACACCAGCAGACAAACACATAATTATTCTATTTGTAAATAAAAAAGAAGCGGAAATGGCATCCACTATCAAACTAGATAGTAATATCACTATCCAAACACAAAAAATGCCGATCCACAATGATATTACCACAAAGAGCAAGACAATGAGAGTATGGGATATTCCCCTGAATGTAACACATGGAGAACTTAAAGTTGCACTAACCAAATATGAATCAATTAGATCACTAC